CAGAGGACAAAGCTTCGCTATAGGTCTAACGTATTCTCCATTAGGGGTCTTTAGAGTAACCACTCTCACATATCCATCAGCTCCAGGGTGGCATTTCAGGACTTTGCCAAGTACCCATTTTGTCGGAGGAATAGGCTCATTGAAAACAGCGACAACGTCACCTTCTGCAATATTACGTGAGGATCGAAACCATTTGGAACGACGCTGTAAGCTCACCAGGTACTCGTCCCTCCAGCGACACCAAAATTGCTGTCTGATCGCAGAAATTACCTGCCAACGTTGATGGAGATTTCCACAGAACCCTTGACCCTCAGGTTCTGGGACGGATTTCAGCGGCTCACCTATTATAAAGTGCCCAGGAGTTAGTGCCTCGAGGTCGCCTGCACTTGCCGGATTTTCGCATAATGGACGGGAGTTTACACAGGCCTCCACTTCGGTTAGTAACGTGCTGAACTCTTCAAAGGAAAGTAAGGTCTCATCCAACACGCGTTTCAAATGGTACTTTATGCGTTTGATTCCCGTCTCCCAGTATCCTCCCATATGGGGTGCAGCCGGGGGATTGAAACGCCACTCGATATTCGAATCGACGAAAAACGAGCGAAGTTTATCGTCAGCCATACACCGTTTGAAATTGTGACGCAGCTCCTTTTCAGCGCCAACGAAATTCGTGCCATTGTCAGAGAACATCACCTTGCAGTATCCTCTACGGTTGATGAATCTTTTGAAAGCGTTGAGGAATGCCAACGAGCAGATGTAGCCCTTGGTGGCTTTGGCTCCGCGGCCATGCGTAAATTTATACAGGTATGGACCTGCGAAATCGATTGCACTGCGAGTGAAACAGCGGGCATAAGTAGCCTTAGAAGCGGGTAGATCCCCCATTGACTGTACGGCGAGATTGCGATTAAGACTCGTGCATTTAACGCACTTGTGGTATATGTTGCGTATCAGGTTACGAGCACCAATGACCCAATACCGACGTTGTAAAACGACTTGCATGATGCGAGGCCCAGCGTGCATAGTGAACTTATGTATGTCGGAGATAATTAATTTCGCTAGAGGTGAGTTTTTCGGTAAAATTGTGGGATGCCTTACATCAGGTGTAAGTTCGGCCTGTTTCAGTCTGCCACCAACCCGTAGAACACCGTTCTTGTCAAGAAACGGTTGCAAACATAAAAGACTGCTGCGTAGCGGAATGGGCCTTTTTGCGCTGCAAAGAAAAATCTCATTAGCAAAATAAAAGTGTTGCGGATACCTAATTAAGCGCAAATCGGCTTCGGCTATCTCCTGGAAACTTGGAGGACCATATCGTTTTTCGGATTTAGCTCGAGCATTGCAGGAAAACCTCAAAACATAGGCGATAATCCGCCGTAACTTTTAATATGACGAATAGTTCGTCAACGCTGACCAATGCTCGTCGGGGTTTACGACATGAACTGGAACATTGTTTCGAGCGCCAACTTCAGTCGTGTGATGCTTGGATGCGGTTTGCTTCCAGAATTGCTTATTGGTGCGGAGAAATGCGGGGCCAGTCCACCACAGCTGGTGACTCAACAATTCTGACGGAGTTACCCCTCTCGAAGCGCAGTCAGCAGGATTCTGCTCAGAGCGGACGTGGTTCCAACAATTAGGCGGTAGGACTTCTTGCACGTCAGCGACGCGGTTGGCAATGAACGTCACCCACCGGCTGGGGTGCGCTTGCAGCCACGCTAACGTGATGGTTGAATCTGTCCCAGCGAACATCGGATATTGAACATCGGAGAATATGTGCAGTTCAGTTGATGAGCCAAACGTTCCAGTACCAAGCCAGCGATTAACTTTTAGATTTACAAGATCTCGTAACTCTGAGCGATGTTGAAACCACTGCGTTGCGATCGCGTCAGGCACGACATCATCCCATTCGACTTTTGGAACGCCAAATCTCCTGGAACCACATTTTGGACTTAACCGTCGTTGGGGCGAGCAATCCCAGAGGATCGAAGAGCAAACTAGCGTCCGATAAAAAACGCTCTCTTAGTCAAAACATCAGGTGGTTGCTTAAGATTAACTGCAAATGTGAAATTATCTGCTTCCGTGTCCCAGATGAGACCTAACGCGTGAACATCTTTACCCTCTGCTATGTAATGCGAAATGCTTTTGGATGCGTTCGAGATATTTTCGTTCAGCTCCACACAGTTCGACGCCCACTTGCGAAGCTCAAAACCACCTTCGCTTAGAATATCCGAGACATTCCGTTGCAACATCTGCAGCTCGTTTTTACAGGAGGTACCGGTCAATAGATCGTCCATGTAAAAGTCCTTGAGGATTACCTTAGCAGGCTGCTCAGACTTGTTACTGGAATATTTTGTAGTTTGTTGCAGCGATTTAACGGCTAGATGCGATGCAGCCGCTACTCCGTAAGTGACGTGTAACATTCTGTAATCTTGGATGGGTAAAGACGGATCATTGCGCCAAACGATACGTTGTAAATCAAGGTGCTTTGATGATACGCAAACTTGGCGGTACATCTTTGCGACGCCTGCGGTTACAGCATACCGATGTGTTCTGAAACGCATCAGTATCGCGACCAAGTCTTGTTGTAATTGCGGTCCCACAAACAAGGCGTCATTTAGTGAATTACCAGAGGTGGTTTTTGCAGATGCGTTGAACACAACCCTTAACTTCGTTGTAACCCTCGACTCCTTTATGACGGGATGATGCGGCATGTAGACTTATCGCTTCGGTTACAGGCTCCATGTGGTTCATGTCGACGAGTTCTTGCATGAATTCGTTATAGCGTAAGCGCAACTCGTTGTCGACAGCGAGTTTTTTCTCAATGCGGAGAAGATTCCGAACAGCAAATCTTCGCGATTCTCCCAAGGTAACATCAGCTTTTAACGGCAGTTCGACGATAAATCGACCATCAGGTGACCTCTGGTGCGTTGATTCAAAATGCTCTTCACAGAAGCGCTCTTCGTAAGTCAGATGCCTCTTTTGCGGAGCCTCCTCTAGCTCCCACAACCTCGTGAGTGCTCTATCTAACTGCACATCGTAATGTAGTGATTGTAGACCTGGGTTTGAGGAGCTAGCGCCGTCAACACTTCCAAAAAGTGTCCAACCGAATACCGTCCGTTGCGTTATAGGCGTCCCTTGGGGGCCTTTGCGAATTTCCGAGCAGATGAGCCGATCCATAACGTCCACCCCGACCAATATGTCTATTGGTCCAGGCTTCATAAAATTGGAATCAGCTAAGACCAGCCCTTGAATGTGTGGCCATGTATGAGTGGCTAAGGCCTGAGTTGGCAAGTCCCTTGTGATCTTCGGCAAAATCAGCGCATTGATTGCATAACATTGATCTGAGGAATAAGATGAAAGTGAAAGTAAAGTCTCACCTCTAGATCGGCCACCTTGCGAGGATCCAATCCCAGTAATTACCACCGTAGACGAGGTCCTTGGCAGACCCAAGCGTTGAACACATGACTCTGTCACGAACGAGGCGTGCGACCCAGAGTCGAACAATAAGCGTGCGGATTGAAAACGACCGGAGCAATCGCGTACTTTTACCAAGGCAGTAGCAAGCAAAACAGTTCTTAGATTTGTAGGTACTAGGTTTGGACTCGACTTCAAGATCCAATGGCGGATAAAGCGTAGTTAGCCCCTACGTGTTGTACGTTGTCGGCATTGTGAGCAGGAGCGGTGACACTAGTTGCGGACGCGGTGTTGTGCAGTAGCGTATGATGGCGTTGATGACAAATTCGACATGCGGACATGCTATTGCAACGAGATTTGAAATGCCCAGGACTTAGGCAGTTTAGACTCACACGGGCTTCTTTACCAAACTTCGATTTAGCATTGGAATCGAGGCGGATAAATTTATCGCAAGCATAAATCTTGTGGGCACCCTTGCAGTAGGAGCAGCTCGCACTGTTGTTCTCCGGCAACGCGTGGAAAACCTTGGCAGATTTGCTTGCTGTGCTTGCTGAAGTCGGCTTACCTGGTGTTGCTGAACCGGTTGCTGTCGAAAGCATCGATAGCGATCGACACCTTACTTCGAGGAACGCTGATAGTTGGTCAAAAGTCGGGGGCTCATCACTGACGAGTGACAGCTACCACTGCTTCCGTCTCGAACGCTAATTTATTTACCACCTCGTGCACCAGCCAATCGTCCCAGAACTCGACGGTGCGACCTAAAGCCTTCAGTTCACGAATATACTGCTGATATGCGTCGAGAACGCCTTTGAAAGCGCCGGCAGTATCACTTGCGGCTTTGCGAATGTCGGCCATTGCTTTGAAGTGCGCCTCAACAATGACTCGCATGATCTTGAAGCGGGACTTCAACAAGTCCCACACCTCCTTGTAGTTTGCGTCGCAAATCTGGAAACCACTGATGATCTTCAATGCTTCACCTTTTAAACAGCTACGCAGGTAATACAACTTCTGTCCGTCCGACAGTGTAGCGTTGGCGTCTACTAATGAACAGAACGCATCATAAAAGCCTACCCACTCTGTAAAATCACCGGAAAAGGTTGGTAGCTCCATCTTTGGTAAGCGTATAGAAGCACACACAGGCGTTGATGCAGCCGTAGGGTGACTTTGACTTGGAGGTTGTGTACGACACTTCTGTACCCGGTTGAAATTCGCCAAAGCCGTAGAGTACCATGTTTCGGCTGAATGCGTACATTTTCTTCCAATTCGGCGTTGTCACTTCCACAAGAAATTTCCTCTGCATCTTGGGCTGAGTTGAACCGGGACCATTGCTCGCTCAACAGTTGCAAATAGCTTGTGACCGTTTCTGAATCCATGGAAAATGCTTCATCAATGCTTTT